CACTCCAAACGGCTGTATCGAGTTAATCAAAAGGTTTGCTATCTATCTCAGCAAATTAATTTAATATGCAATATATAAGAAGTTTTTTCATTATGCGTTAAACTGAAAAAACAACTTTTAGAAGCGGCGTGCCTATTGGCGGTGCTAAAGCTGTTGTTTTAGGAAGGAGTAAGATTGTTGGTACTCCTGTTGCTGAACTATTAAAATGGCATAATGCCACTGTAACAGTCTGCCACTCAAAAACGAAAAATCTCTCTGATGTCGTAAGTAATCATTTAAGTTTATGATTTTTTTTTTCTTATAGTATTTGTAAAATAAAATAAAATAAATAACTGTATTAACTGTAAAGGCTTGTGATATTTTCTTAAATTTATTTTAGGTGCGTGAAGCTGATATTTTAGTAGTAGGTATAGGACAACCCGAATTAGTTAAGGGTGATTGGATTAAGCCAGGTGCCGTTGTCATCGATTGTGGCATCAATCCCATTCCAGGTATTAAGCTTTATTATTTATGTGATGATATATTTGAAAGATAAATTAAAATTCACAATCAATTATTAAAATTTATCTTGGAAAATTCTGAAATGTCTTAAATAATTTTTCAGAACACCAATGTATCGATTGTTTTTCATAAAAAAAGATCGTAACGTTTGTAATTTACTATTTTCAAACTAAAAAATATAAACATATCGCGATAATGGTACAAAAAGACAAAATATTTATTATAATTTTTTATATTTAAATAAATTCTTTATAATTAATATTATTACATACATATATTATATAATTTATTATGTAATTTAAATATTATAAATTAAATAAATATTTTTAAAGAATAAGATTTGCAAGTACGAACTGTAAACATGTTTGTGTTTGTATTATACATTGACGTTATTACTCTTTCTCTTCTTCTTTTCTCCCTCATTACGACAGAAGACATTATCATACCCATACATCTCTGATCATTAAAAAAAAAATATAGAAACATAGTTGATTATTTAGTTTAAGTTCAGTCACATCCGGGTACGGGCGTCATGCACAACGTGTCAGTTTATGATAACATAAGCGCGTAAAGCATTTATCTTCCAATATGAGGCAATACATGAATTAATTTATCAAATAAATATATTATATTACAATTAATTATAATTTTATCTTAAAATAAAATTATAATTAATTGTAATATAATATATTTATTTCTCTTTTTCTCTTTTTATATTTGAAATAATTTAACAAAAAAATTTTGAGACATAAACATAATCAAACATAATCAAAACATAATCGAACGAAAAATCCAATCGAATTGGATTTTCAAATCCAATAAATATCACTAAATCATTAATGGTGTTTCAGATTCTACAAAGAAAAGCGGACAACGTTTGGTAGGCGACGTAGCATATCAAGAAGCTGTTAAAGTAGCTTCGTACATTACACCAGTACCCGGCGGTGTTGGACCAATGACAGTCGCTATGTTAATGAAAAATACCGTGATATCCGCGCAAAGATCGGCGGAAAAGCTGTTCAACAGTCAATGGAAATTGCGGACTCTTAAACTGAATCCTGTGAGACCCGTACCGAGCGATATCGATATCTCCAGGAGTCAAGAGCCAAAATCGATCGTTGCATTAGCTGAAGAAATTGGATTATTATCGAACGAGTTTAGTCCTTACGGCAGCAAAAAAGCTAAGATCGGTCTCAGTGTATTACAACGACTAAAGAATCAAAAAAATGGAAAATATGTTGTGGTAGCGGGCATCACGCCAACGCCATTTGGTGAAGGAAAAAGCACGACTTCCGTTGGATTGGTGCAAGCACTAACGGCGCACAGAGGCAAAAATTCTTTCGTTACTCTTAGACAACCTAGCCAAGGACCTACATTTGGCGTTAAAGGAGGAGCTGCTGGAGGAGGATATTCACAGGTATGAGTAAAAGAAATTTCTTCAAATAACGATAACTATCAATATTTATGATGAAGATGTACTGTTTATTGACACCTTGTTATAGGTAATACCTATGGAGGAATTTAATCTTCACCTAACCGGGGATATTCATGCTGTTTCTGCCGCAAATAATCTTTTGGCGGCGCAAATTGATGCACGATACTTCCACGAGTCCACTCAGAGTGATAAAGTCCTATATGATCGATTGGTACCAACTATTAAAGGTGTCAGGAAATTCTCAAAAATCCAGCTGAGACGATTGGAAAAACTTGGCATCACAAAAACTGATCCGAATTCGTTAACGGAAGAAGAAAAACGTCAATTTGCAAGACTTGACATCGATCCAAATAACATCATATGGACGCGAGGTGCGATTTAAGAACTTATAGGAATATATTCCGTGAAAAAGATATTGTATTTGCATCTTTTCTGTTATGCAGTGGTGGATATTAACGATCGATTTTTGCGGAAGATCTCCATTGGTCAGAGCCCAACCGAGAAAGGCAAGACAAGAGAAACCTCATTCTGTATTTCTGTTGGATCTGAAATAATGGCAATCCTTGCATTATCAACTAATGCCGAAGATATGAAAAAACGACTTGGTAATATCGTTATCGGATTTAGCAAAAGCGGCGAGCCTTTAACTGCTGAAGATTTTGTTAGTATAATTATTTAAAATTGTATGTGAAAAATTATCTTAATTATATTTTTCGATATTATTATTTATATGAAATAACGATTTTTTTTATTATCTCGTTAAATTATATGTATTTTAATAATTTAAATTAAAGTATAATTACATTCAATTACAATTAGATAATTAGATAAATAAACCATTCACAATAATCTTTACATCTTCACAATTTTGTATAACGAAAACAATTTGCGGCTTGTTTAAATATCTACTTAATCCTCAGGGTATGACAGGAGCAATGGCGATTCTGCTAAAAGATGCTATAGAACCGACACTTATGCAATCATTGGAAGGTACACCTGTAATAGTACACGCTGGACCATTCGCCAATATAGCCCACGGTTGTTCATCTATTATCGGCGACGCTATTGCTCTAAAATTAGTCGGACCGAAAGGCATTGTAATAACAGAAGCCGGATTTGGATCGGATATTGGCATGGAAAAGTTTTTTGACATCAAATGTCGTACTTCCGGATACGTACCGAATGCTGTCGTACTTGTAGCGACTATTAGAGCATTGAAGATGCACGGTGGTGGGCCACCGGTTACGACCGGAGCACCGTTAAAAAAAGAGTATATCGAAGAAAATGTTGAACTTGTTAGAAAAGGCTTACCAAATCTGCGAAAACACATCAGTAATGGTTTGAAATATGGCGTGTCCGTAGTTGTTGCCATCAACTCTCACAGGTGATTTTTCTTACAAATAATTAATAGTATGATAGTTTTCTATTACAAAAGTTAAATCCGCAGTCATCAGAATACTAATCTTGAATATATATTATTTGTTTCGTTGAAGTTTTTGTTGTAATCCTTATTTTACTAACAGTTATCAAATTATTACGAACTCAAAGAGAATGTTTTAAGAATTTTATTTCATGATGATGTGACATCATCATACTTATGAAAATTTTATAAACAAAGCTAACATATTCAAGCATATGAATCGTAACATTTGAATTAATACAATCGGTCATAGATGAGTATCATTAATCTTTCAGTACCGATACTCAAGCGGAGCTAGAGCTCGTTAAGCAAGCAGCCTTGGAAAGCGGTGCAACTGATGCAGTAATATGCACTCATTGGGCCGAAGGTGGGGCTGGTGCTATAGCTCTTGCGGATGCAGTAATAGCAGCTACCGAAAAAAATAGTAATTTCGAACTATTATACGATCTCGAGGATAGCATCGAAGAAAAAATTAATAAGATCGCTAAAGAGATTTATGGTGCTGGCCAAGTCGTTCTCGCGGAAAAGGTGAACAAATATTTTTATCCCACATACATATATGTATATATATATTATATA